TTCTCCTTCGAAATCTCTTTTGCTTCTCCTTGTCTGCAAATACAATTGTATTCACAAAACCCAATATCGCAATCTCTATCAAAGCCATGGAAGCTCGACACGATCTCCAAACAACCAATCAGGATTACCCAAAACCGATTACGGCACCACCGCCTCCGATCTCGAAAGACATAGAAGTAAGGAGAGCAATGGAAGCATCGTCGAAATCGAGTCTCTTCAATCTTACAAGAAAAGATATACTATACGAAGACGAATGGCTCATAGCCGTTGATAAACCAAAAGGTATCTACTGCGAAGCTCTTCTTTCCTCTGCTTCTCGTCTTCTTGTTGCTGGTGAGTACATCTCTAATTTCTCAGTAGAACAATCCAAATTCCAGATTCGATCTACAATTGATCTGTTTTTTTTCTTCTTCTCTCTCAGATTCTTCGAATGAATATCATCTCGCCAATAGATTAGACCGTGATACTAGTGGAGTGATGCTGATTACTAAGTCCCATAAAGTCGCTGCTAAGCTCGTTAAGGCATTCACAGAACACAAGATTCGTAAATCGTACATTGCTCTCTCAATCGGGCCATCACCAAATTGGAGTAAGATCACGATTAGGTCAGGTCATGGACGGTCAAAACACGGAGCCTGGCGAGCTTACGCTGCGTTGGACGTTGGTCGAGTCTTACCGGGAGGGTCAGTAGTTAGAGACATGGAGACAACGTTTGAAATTGTATCCGTAAACGGAGAAAAACCCCAAGCATCGGAATTGGAATCGGTGATTGTTGTCGATGGGGAACCGGAATTTTGTTGTAATGGAGAGGAGGATGTTGTTGTTGTGGTTAGAGCGTTTCCACGAAATGGGAGGACGCATCAGATCAGGCTACATTGTCAGTATCTTGGGATACCATTAAGAGGAGATGTTAAGTATCATGGAGTGTATGAATGGAGAGGAAGAACATTCGAAGGGCATGAGCTTCATGCTGAGAGCTTATCTATGGATCATCCAGTTACCGGTGATCCTATTGTTATCCGAGCTCCACTTCCGTGCTGGGCCACCGGAGATGGAAGATGTAACGGTTAGAATCTGAATAGTTAGTGTGAAGATTTTGACTCTTGGTTTAACTACTTTAGCATTTCCTTCAATTGTTTCACTATCAACTTTTGTAGCTCGTATACAAGAACATTAGCAACAAGGAACAACATTGAATACAATCCTCTGTTTTCTTCTTCGTGCTCTTTATGACAACACAATATGGTATTCTTTTTGCCCTGCACTCTCGACAACTGCATATGTGTTTGTCCTAAATCGGCAGTTAGAAACTCTGTTAGTCGTTAATGATTTTTCTTTTGTTTCATTGTCACCAATTCTACGTTTCTTAATGAACAATAAACAAACGAAATGAAACGCATTAAGTTTCGAGGAACTTGTGAGATTAGTGAATACTTGAATTGTTCTTAAATGAATGAATGAATGAATTGTTCTTCTTCGAATACTTGTCATGTCATTTGTGTTTTTAATATTTTACATTTGAGACTTGAGAAGGTTGCCTGTTTAATTGAGTCTAAATAGGCAGCCTGTTTAATTGCATAAAACCCCATTAAATAAACATGCCTTAACGGGCATACCCGTTTAAATCCGTTGACACTAAACCTATAATCGGATCTAAACGAACACATTTTAGTTAAAACAAGTCTGATTTAGCCTGCTAATTTTAAGCTTTAATCAACATCACTAGATAAACCTTCACGTGAGTAAACGAATTGTTCCTCTTCGAGTATCTAAATAAAATGGCATATGTTTTTTTGAACGTGCACATATGAGATTTTAGAAAGTTGCTTTCTATCCAAAACAAGGAACCGATTGAG